GATTTCATATAATTTATAATCTGAACCAGATGTGCTTTCAGAAAAAGATGCTTCATTTTTACTATCAAATTAAGTTCCTCTGATAATTATTAATTTACTTAGACTTTCAATATCTTCTATTTGTTAAAAAATTGTCTATTTTATCAAGATTTCAATTTTTATATGACTCTAAAGTCCTCTACTTCATTTGAATTACATCTGCTATTTCATTCCAAACATAGTTTATCTACATTTTCTCTTCTTCTTAGTTAGCAGGAGCACTTTCCGCACAAACTAGGGGTTTGACAGGTCTGGAAAGGTCGATTTATTTTAATGCCACTTCCCTTTTATATTAAGAGATTTTGGGTTATTCACTATAAATTTCACACTAACAGTCTATTTGCTTCTTTTAAGGAAATGATTATTAACACCAGCCTTTCTGTTTTATTAACCAAATTCAGTATCAGCAAGGCCAAATTCTCACCTGATCATGGGGAGGTTGGGACACAGCGGTTCAGAGAAAGCAGAGTCATTCCCCAGATATTTTTGGTCGATATATTTGCCTCAAGTTGACCAGATTTCTGAATAGTACCTTTTCCTACCTTGGGTACTTTTCCTACATTGGATAGGAAAACGTACTATTCAGAAAAAGTACTTTTTATATCTGGTTGTTTTTAAAAAGTTTATCTTTATCATCATTATTCTCCAGTTTCTGTATGTCTTGATGAGGTTTGGGTTCTTTCATTTATCTGACTTGACATTTGGTACACCCTTTAACCTGGAAACACATATGCCTCTGCAGTTTCAGAAACCCTTCAGCTGTTATATCCACATGTTTTCTCTTCTTTATTTTTACTGGCATATGCTTGTAGATGCTGATTAAATGGGCGTTGAAGCTTCTCAATCATGTTTCAACTTATTATCCATATTTTCCATCTCTTTTTCTGTAGTGAATTCTGAGATTCTCAATTCTTTTTTCAAGTCATTAATCTTTTTCTTTAGCCATATTTAGACCACTAATTATCTTGTCTACTTAGCTTTTTATAGTAATGACTGTATTTTTCATTTCTGTGATTTCTAAATCTGTTGCTTTTGTATGATTACCAACTGTTCTCACTGAAGGAATGGTGTTTCCTGTTTTGTTTGAGGGAAAATATGGAATATATATATATATATATATATATATATATATTTGTTTTAAAATTGCTGCCTTCTTTTTATCTCTGTGGTTGAAATTCTTCCATATCTTGAATATGCTATCTTCCATAGAGGTATGTTTGCTCAGTTGATTTGTCATTTTGGGAAGAACTATGTTGTGTAAAAAGAAAAAAAAAATGTGCCTGTTGTGCTCTGATTCGTGGGTTTGTGTTTCCTTGGACCATATCTCTGTGTTACATAGTTCAGACCAAGTCTTTCATTAGAGCTTTTTGAGATGGCTCTTCTTCGTTAAGTGGGATGGGGGTGATATTGGAGCAGAGAGAGGCAAGGGGACACCCCTTAGGGACTCCTTTCCTAGGAGGCCACATCTGAGATCTCACTATTTCCTGTAGACTCTTATTTCCTTCCAAACTATGTGTCTCCTTGAAAATACAAAGCTCTTTATACACTTTAGGTCCTTAGAGAAATCCCAGAGAACACTCAGAGTTGGGACCTGGGGTGAAGAGAATGAGAGGAAGTTAGATCATCCCCTCCACAGGACTGAGGCAGGGAGGCAGGTCAAGGCCATCCAGAGATGCTTTGCCCACTGCAGCACCTAGGATGACCCCACATTTGAGATAAAGTGCAGCTGTGGAGATGAGAGGCAATTGGATTTATATGAAATCTTCCTGTGACCTTTGCCTGAGACCTTTGGTCTGAGGGGTGTTTTCTTACAGCTCTGCTCCTGCTAATGATATTCTCTTGTGTGAGTGATAGCTTCCAGCTGACTGAGATCAGCCGCTAGCTTTAGCACAAAGCTTCCTGGCCTTTGGTAAGACCAAAAGCATGCATTCAGCTACCTTCCAAGGAAGAATGGAAAAATCTTGCCTGAACACTTGGCACACAAGGATGGAGGAAAAGTAGGTGAGGGCAGTAGCTGAAGGATTAGAACAATTCTATAGTGAAAGGATGCTAACAGGAGGGGCAGAAACCTCACCGTGGTTCTTCGTACCTGTCTATAAACAAATACTTATGTCTCAATTACTCAGTTGTGCAATGAGTAATGTACAATGAACAATGGCATGCTATACTTATTCAGTGCTTACCATATTGTCCCACACTATGGTTATCAAAAAAACTTCCAAGTTTTTCAGAGGGCACCAAATAGTAATTTTTCTGCCTAATGCCAACCTCTAATTTTATCTGCATCCTGGTTATTTTGTGACAGCAGTTTCCTAGAAAGAGCTGCTGATGATTCATAGCCAAGTACCACTGAGACACTCATTAGGAGACTTGCTGACTACTTTAAATTTGATAGAAAATTAACTGTAAGTCTAACTCAGTAACTCCTATATAAATCTTAATTTACTAATTTTTTTCAGTGTTGAATAAAAATGAAAATCTGTAATCTTCAGAGAATGAAAGCACAGAAAATTTTAAAAAGATTATGAAACATTTTGAGGGGAAGGACAAGGGGTAGCTATTACAGGAGTAAATATATTTGACATTATCTTCTGGAAATGACCACTTAAAACATAATTCATTCTCAGAATTACTGAGAATCCTAAGTTATTTTCATGTTCCCAAACCATTCAAGATATAGAATGATGCTCAATGGTGAAAGCCATTGTGACTATAAAAATAGTCATATAACATAGTAGGCATCACTACATCCAATTTTCATTCATTCTTTTTTCCTTGATGTCATTAACCCAAGTGGATGCTGATGGTTTGGAACACACTGCCATTTAATACTCCATGTAGACTGTACATGAGGTGTTAGTTCCAGGAGACAACCAGGAGGCCTATTAAGGAAAGGGAAAGAGGAGCTGGATTGCAAGATTATGTATTTCTGAGACTGTTTCTTGTTTGTTTCTAAAGCATGGCTAGCACATTTTCACATTTAAGACCCACTGACACTAAACATTCACAAAAGAGGAAAAAAAATCAACTTTTAGTCCTAGCTCCAAAGTAGAAGTTAATTTTAAAATAATTGTTATTATTACTATTATTATTTTTTTTGAGACAGGGTCTTCCTCTGTCACCCAGGGTGGAGTTCAGCGGCACGATTGTGGCTCACTGCAACCTCCATCTTCCAGATTCAAGTGATTTTCCTGCCTTAGGCTCCCAAGTAGCTGAGATTGCAGGTGCATACCATCATGCCCAGCTAATTTTTGTATTTTTACTAGAGATGGGGTTTCACCATGTCGGCCAGGCTGGTCTCAAACTCCTGACCTCAAATGATCTGCTGACCTAGGAACCCCAAAGTTTTGGAATTACAGGCATGAGCCACCTTGCCCAGCCACATTTTTTTTATATGAAAGGAAATAAAGACACCAACACATTACTGCATAGTGTACACACAGCCTTTATGCACCACGTCTTTGGGATTTGTGTACTTTTTCTTTTGGAATGTCCTGAGTTCTGGAAAGCTGGAATGGCGTTCATTCCTAGTCCCACTTGGGCTTTTGTCCATTTGATTGT